CTCCGGAGCATTGTCGTCCGCTTGGATTCCACTTGAAAGACTGCGAAAAAGCGGTTCCCACCATAGACTTTGGCCTAAATGGTTCATTCCAACTGCAGCGCAGAAACCCATCAAATTACAGCAAATTGACGATTGCTCCAATGGATTTAAAGGCATTTATTTGTCCCGTGACAGCACAACACAGAGCTCTGCTGCCCCTTTTCTTGAAATTCTCCGAAACCAACAAAAACTTCACTCTGTTCTATAACTGCACACCTGATTGGGTACAATGGTTACCGCCTGAAGATAAGATTGATTGCAGACCCAATAAGAACAACAAACGCTTCTTTACGCATAACTGGGGGGAGCCTGAGGAGGATGATCCTCACGGATGCAGCTGTGTGAAAGTTGCGGTTAATGAGACATTTTTCAACGAAGCGCCGGAACCGATATCGCTTGATGCTTTGAAACAATTTCGGTTTGATGTGGAGTACAACTGTAGTGAGGTTTTCTGTCATCAATGTAAGAGTTTAGGTGGGAAATGCGAAAACAATTCGACTTTAGATCAGTACCTACGAGCAGCATGCCCGCGTCGTCCAGGTTCGGGTCGAGGTATGTATTATCTATGCAAAACCATTTGTTTTTAATTTGGTGTAGTGATTACGGCTTAGGATATTATTCTGTCTTGGCATTCGCATTCAATACACAATTGAGTCTATACCATAGCTTCCTGGAAACTCACTGCTTGACATTGTTCTGGTCTTCTTTGAACAAGTCAACGTGACTAGAAGCTTTGGTTGACTAGACTTTTAAACTTAACCCATTGGTGCAAAATTGAAATGACCATTTGCCCCCACGCCCATGATCCTCCTCGCTGGTTTTTTCAAATTTCATCCAGTTGGGTGACGACCTAGTAAAGTTGGCCGGACCAGAGATGACTGTGGGAGTAAGTGCTTCTCCCTTTAAGTGAATGAAAGTTGAAACTACAATACTTTTTAGAAGGGAAAAAAAAAAAAAAAAGGACAAAAAGTTTTTTGGGGCACGGGTTGCTTGAGGGAGCTTATGCCTTGAATACTAGTCTAGGAAGTAGGAACGGGTTCCTTGAGACAACTCATGCCTTAGGTAGCTTGGCACGGGTTGCTCAGGGGAACTTGTGCCATGAGTAGGCTTGCTTGCAAAAGCTTCTGCGAGTTCAAGCTTGAAGCTTGGCTTGAGTTCGTGTTTGATTCAAGTGACTTGGTTAAATTATTTGGGTTTGACATGAAATTTAGCAATTTAATCAACTTTATTATCTAATTTGAATTAAAACTTGTTATTAAGTTCAGATTATTATATACTCTTAAATTTTTTTTGGACTTGTTTAAAAAAATTATATTTTAATTAATATTTTAAAAATTGATTATTGAATTAAAAATTTTATTCATATAAATCATGCATGTCAATATTCATATTAATTTAACACTTATAACCTTTTGATAAAAAAACGTTATTTACTAATATATATGTAACAGTATTAAATTTCTTGTAATTAACAACTAATTAAATTTACTAAAACAATTTGAAAATTGATATACATAATTTATATGAGTAAAATTTTTAATTAATGGCTAGTTTTTAAAAATATAATTATAATATGAATTTTTAGATATGTTTTCTAAAAAAAAATTTAAGAGAATAACTTATAAAATATTTTTTTATTATATTATTTATTTAGGTAAATACAATATAGTAATTATTTTCACTTTAATATGTATATATAATTGAATCAGCTTGGGTGAACCTAACCCTATGGGCCAAGTATATAGCCACTCTTATAAGGTTCATATCTCCTTCCCCCAAAAACAATGGTTCGAACTGGTTCTATGACTAAAATGTTCAAAAAAAAAAAAAAAATGAATGAGCTTGGGGTGCTTTGGAGAAGTTCAAGTTAGCATTGAGCTCTATTCTCGTCAATGGTTTGTGTCGTTTGCAATCCTACCTTGGAGGGTGCAGGGATTAGTCACTGCCTCATCCTATTGCCATAATGCCATCCCTAGTTTAGCCATGAGGTTGGACTTCAAGGGTGTGGTGTCAACTTATTCCCAGTAGATTGTCAACCTAGGTCAAGGGTGCTAAGACCTAAGAATTGTAATTTCAGGTTAGGCCCAGGCCAAAGGTTCAACCGTTAGCAAGACCTTAGAATTCAACCTTGGTTAGATCTCTGAGGATAAAGATAATTAGTATCAAAATAACTAAACTATTTTTTAGTTTATTTGATGATGAGTTATATAATATAACACTCCTTTTGTTTTTTTTCACAAATCCCTTTCTTCACTCATTTTAATGTACAAAACTTAATGCTTCTAATACGATTCTAATATGAAAGCTTAAATTTTTAAACATTAAGACATCTGCCTACTATGTTTTTTTAGTAATTCAATAATTTTAATAAAAAAGTATAAAAGGTATCTAAATGCATGATACAAGTAAAATTCACACCTCAAAACAAAGCAAAGGTCCCAACTATCAAAACAAAACCTGTCAAGGCCAATACCAGAGGACAAGACCTGATGGAGCATTCCCCTGCTACATTTTATAAACAATTAGTCTCTCATTTCAGCACACAACAACACATAACAATGCAATAAATTAAACCTTAAGTGGAGGATGAACCTGGTATTGTTGTTGTGCATAATTAGTCTTACATATTGATGCTGCCCCTTCTTACCTCTTTATTGTTGTCCTTGTTAACAAAAATCTGAATTTTGATACAACACCAAAGATCCTCTAATTGTAATGCATGTGACATCTCATCCACACAGAACACCCCGTACTTGTATTTTAAAAGTCCTGTCACAATCCTGAATGTCATCAAAACCCATAAACCTCACACAGGCATTTGATCGAGCAATTGATCTGCATAACCAAAAGAAATTCTACTCTTGCCTCAATTCACCAAAATCAAAGATACGAGGATGGCAATCACATACCAAAAACACGTAGCCCAACAAAAATTAATCCACCATCCAAAATCACTAAATTTAGCAGTCTTACTTTGAAACCAAAAGCATACTTTCACACAAATCTCTGATATCTATGGAATATTTATAGGTTGTAGGTTTTGTACCTTGTTGTTAGTGTTCCAAATCTTGATTGCGTGTCTCTCAAATCGATTCTAAATCAAAAGAAACAGAAAAGCTCTTGATTTCAAAATCGAATAAATTGAACCCTCGACTCTTGAGGTGGGTCCATAAAAATGAAAAAAAAATCTTAAAATCATTCAAACCCAAACGACGTGTTCGCTTGGGTTTGATTTCACAATCCTCCAATATCCAAACCCCATTAATGACATCAGAAATCCTGTGAATTATGTCATCCTTACCAGATTTTTGAATCCATGTTTAGCTTTGAAGATTGAACCCTTTGAACAAGGGAGAAAATTTTTCAGTAGTCAGTGCAACTTCCCTATATAAATTTTTTATATTTAAATAAATAAATATAATATTATTAATATTTTTATAATAAAAAAATTAATTATTAAATAATTATAAATTTATATAAAAACCTATCTCTCAATTATTTTTCATATTTCATTCCATAAAACTAAGAGATCTCTATGTATTCGATTGAACAAAATATTTTTGCTTTTAAATAACGACTATCAACGTGAAATTTGTAACAAAATATGCAAAATTTTATGGGACAACACAGATAGTATCTGACAAAAATATAAGGTAAAACTTTTAATATAGTATCAAGTTTTTATTGGTTAGATTGAGGCAGTATCCCACCTTATGCTGAAGAATTTTTTTGTAATTAAGACATTCATTCTCTTTTGAGGCTGCTGCCTCCTCCGTAGATTTGAAAAGAGTAATTTTGAAATGAAAATTTTGATTAATCATATTATTAAATCAGTTAATATATATAATGTTATAAATAATAAAAAATTATTAAATAGTTATTAAATAATATAAAATTTATTTTTTAATATTTTAAATAATATAACTTATATTATATTATTAATTTTAAAATTTAATATCAAATTATAATCTAATTTATCTTTATTTATTTGAGAATTATGAATCATCCTTTTTATAGAACCGATTGGAATTTGCGATTATTTACATTTATTTTTTTTGGTAAATATGGTCCAAGCGATTATTTACATTTATTACCTGCCATCACTTCCTTGATTTTCTGGAGTCAAGGTCAACCATTCACGTTTCTCTCTTAGAAAATTCCAAAAGTCAGAACTTTCCCTGTCAAAGAGGATTTTTTCCGCAGTTTCCATGAAAATCAATGTTAATCCTACTCAATACTCATCCTTAAATAAATCAATCCATTCAGTTTCATTTCTCCTATTCCTAATTCCCTCATGAGCTATGTACCAAAAAAAAAAAAAAAAAAATTCCCTCATGAGCTTCCGCAAATGGGTTCACTCTCTCTATACTCCATCAGTACCCTGTTTGTCATCTTAGCCACCATCAGTCCTTCCTTGGCTGCGGAAGATGATGCAGGGTTTGCGGTGTGCAGTCGACCCTTTAGCTGCGGAATCTGCAAAAACCTTTCTTTTCCATTCTGGAGCGACACTGGGCCTCAGTACTGTGGGCATGAGGGTTACAAACTCAAATGCAATGGAGATGGTTCGCACCCTGTTATAGTAATCAATGAGCGTGAGTTTCAAATCCTTAGAATCAATCAGTCAGCCCAACCCCAGATGATGACCCTCTCCTGGATGAACTCCGGAAAAGATTCTTGTCCTACGGCCTTGAATCACTATCTCTTTAAACCTGCTAAAACAGTTGTGAATGTGACTCTGCTTCGCAATTGTCCTGAGTCTGCCGACCCTTTGTGGAAAAGGATAGCAGCTACGCATAAAATTCAGTGCACTGTTGATGGTAAACCAACCTACTTATTATTCTTGAGGGATAACGAGACCCATCTTGTGGATTGTCGAGATAAAGTGGAAGTTCCGGTTCCAGAGGAGGCTCTTAATCAACTCATTTCAGGAACTATAAGTTTGAGTAAAGCCTTGATGACTGAGTTTGACGTACAGTATCTTGCATACGATGAGTATTGTTTGAAATGCCAGGGCTCTGGTGGAAGATGTGGATCCGGTCACACTTCTTCACTGTCATTTGCTTGCTATTGTCGCGACCGACCTTATGATATAACATGCGGTACCGCACATTTAACCTTCCTTTCAACTAGAGTTCTTACTTTATACAGATTCTTAGTTAATAATAGTTATTAGTCCACTGAAAATTGAAAAAATATACCTTAGATTGGCCTACTTTGGTTTGTTTCTTTGCATTTTTCACGCGGACCTAGTTAGTTTTTTCCCTAAGGTGGTAAGGTCTACAGGGAATTTATGTCAAAGGTAGAAATCTCAGGTTAAATTAGCAGTTTTACTGTATTTTCATTAACTTTTTTAAGAAACAACTTCAGTAGTCCTCTTCTGTTCTTCATTTTTCCTTCTGTGTGACCACTTGCTCCTGCCAAGTTTCTAGCTCTTCAATGATTCATTGCTTTTGACATTTAGTGCATTGGTGGGTCTGCTTTTGATGTAGTACTCATGCCTGCTTTCAACATGTCAATGGTCCTGAACCCTCATGGACTGGATTTTTCTAGCCAACCTTGTGTCAATGTCCGTCTTCCCTTTCTATTCTGAATGCA